TACCAGCAAGCAATAACATTGCCACCATCACCACAATAATCATCATCAAATTTAACATTACAATTTAACATTAATCATCATCACCACTGTCAACACCACTATTATTATCATTACAACAACCATAAACAACACATAAAATTATCATCACCATCGACATGACCATGATCATTATTACCATTATCATCCCCACCACCATAAACATCACAATCATCACAATACTTATTACATCTGACATCATCAGAATACCAATTATCACCACAACAACCATCATACTGGCATCTTCACAGCCACCATTAATGCCATCACAATTATCACCTCCGCTACCATAACACCAAACATAAACACCACTATAAATATCAATACCATTATCATCACTACTGACATCACCAGCATCACCATCCTAAATATCACCACCACTACCATTATTATCTCCACTGCCCTCATTGCCACTGTCACTACCAGCATCATCACAACAAACATAACCATCAATATAATTATCAACATCCTCACGTTTACAACACGCACAATCATCACCATTACTATCTTGACCATCATCACAAGAGCCATCAACATCACACACGATACCATTATCACCACCATCACACAACGCTACCATCGTCACCAATACTAATATCACCACTATTATCATCATCACCCCTACCAACATCATTATCAACACTATCATCATCATCACCACTGTTATCACTACCATCATCAAAACAAATATAGCCATCACCACCATTACTACCACCACCACCATCATTTCATTTTACGACCACCATCACCATCACACATCACAATCATTATTCCAGTTATCAGATAGTCATGTGTCATGCGTGATACACGCTTAGGCGATCATGTATCTTTCGATACATGACTGACGAGGCAGATTTTTTCCCGCAGTAAGTTGCCATTTCTTTCTGCGGTAGACCAGTTGCCAAGGCTATAAAACCCAATATGTCCTACTATTTACCCATAGGTGGGGGGAGAAGAGGATCCATACCTTTCCCAAGGGTATTATTAGCACGTAAGTGAATGTAATGGATTCTAACTCGGCTCTCCGATTCCTCAATCCGAGCCGCTATCCACTACAACACGGTGCCTCCTTCTAGTCATCACAACTTCAATAAGCTTCATAATTATCGCCACCATCATTATTACCATTACCACCACCCTCATTACCATCAAAACAGACATAATCTTCCGCATCATGAGCATGCCCATCATCATTAATTTCAGCCCCACCATCATCCCCACCACCATCTCCACTATCATCAGCATCATCACCACCACCATCTCCACCATCATCAGCATCATCACCACCACCATCTCTACCATCAGAACGGTCATAACCATCGGCATAATTATCCCCATTAGGACCACCCCATCGGTTTTACCAACATCATCACCCCCAACATCATTCCCACCACCACCACCACCAACAACAACCACCACCACCACCACCACAAACACCATCATCCCTACCATCATCACCACCACGATCTCCACCATCAGAACGGCCATAACCATCGGCATAATTATCACCATCAGGACCACCCCCATCGGTTTTACCAACATCGTCATCACTCCCATCATCCTTCCCACCACCACCGCAACAATCACCATCATCACCAGCATCAGCATCATCTTCATCCTGCCAACACCATCACCATCACCATCATCACCTTGCTCTTAATTTTAAATTAAAGTAATCTATTTCCTCTGTCAACTAGTTCGAAAAATTAGTCATCGCATTTATGTCGTCAACAAATTCACACGGAAATGTTACTGTGAATGTAATTAGGAAAATTAATTCCTTAATAGGAATCTTGAAACTGCAAAGTTATAAAATAAATAATTTATTAGAAGCTCTGTAAAATTTAATATATAAACCCTTCCACCACCACCACCACCCCCGCTTTTGGTCTGTTGTACTTATGCCCAAATTTAGGGTCGGAAAAAGATGACCTGACAATATTAAAAAAATATATGTGATTAATTTGATTTTCCGGTCTTATATATCTGATAAACAATTATTTATCTTTAAGGAACTGTTTGCATCGTTTCTTGTTTACCGAAATTTCAACAGAATCTAACAAAATTTTCATAACAGAATTTTAACAGAATTTAACAAAATTTTTATGACAAAATTTTAACAGACACTAACAAAATTTTCGTAACAGAATTTAACATTTTCATAAAAAAATTTTAACAAAATTTATCAGCATTTTCATAAAATTTTAACAGAATTCAACAAAATATTCATAATAAAACTGTCACAAAATTTAAGAAAAATTTCCTAGCAAAATTTTAACAGGAGTTAACAAAATTTTCATAACAAAATGTTAAAAGAATTTAACAAAATTGTCCTTGCAGAATTTTAACGGAATTTCACAAAATTTCCATAGCAAAGTTTTAACAGAATTTAACAGAATTTTCAAAAAGAATTCCAGCAGAGTTTTCCTAACAGAATTTAACAAAATTTTGATAACAAAATTTTGATACAAAATTTTAACAGAATTTTAGAAAATTTTCCTAACAAAATTTTAAAAGATTTTAACAATTTTCCTAGCATAATTTTACCACAAGTTCATAAAATTTCATAAGCAAAGTTTTGCCAGAACTTAACAGAATTTTCCTAACAAATGTTTAACGGAATTTAACAGTTTTAACAGGATTTAACACAATTTTCATAACAAAATTTTAACAGAATTTAACAAAATTTTCCTAATACAGTTCTAACAGAATGTAACAAAATATTCCTAGCAGAATTTTAACAGAATGTAACAAAATTTTCATAACATTTTAACTGAATATAACAAAATCTTCATAACAAAATTTTAACAGAATTTAACAAAATTTTCATAACAAAATTTAATAAAATTTTCATGAAAAAATTTTAACATAATTTTTCTATCAAAATTTTAACAGTATTCAACAAAATTTTTATAACAAAAATTTTCATAACAGAATTTCCCCAAACGATATCTTAACAGATTTTATTTTAAAATTCATAATGGAATTTAACAAAATTTAAATAAAATTTAACAGAAGTTAACAAAATCTTCTCTGCTAAATTCTAAAAGTTATTGAAGTTTCATAACAAAGTTTTAACAGAATTTAACATTTCGTTAGAGATTTTGACAGAATTTAACAGTTTTCTTAATAAAAATTTAAAGAGAATTTAAGAGATATTCCTAACACGTTTTTAACAGAATTTAACATAATTTTCATATCAAAATGTTCATAACAAAATTTTAACAAAATTTAACAAAAGTTTCATAAAATAATTTAACAAAATTTTCATAACACAATTTTAAAAGACTTTAAAAAAAATTCTTTTTTCCTAGTAAAATTTTTACCGAATTTAACAAAACTCTCCTATCTAAATTTTAAATTCAGAATTGAATTCAGAATTGAACAAAATTTATTAACAACATTTTGCCACAACAGTTTTATCAAAATGTGTATTACATTTATTCACATTTATGTCTGGGTTTATTCTATTTTTAACGAAATTTTCTCTATATTCCAAATGTTAATGTTCATGTACACGGAATATTCTATGAATGGCGTTTGCTTTTGCTATATTATTTGCTCTTCATTATTGCTTGACATTGATATTGCGTTGAAAGGACGTTGTATTTCCTTTTTATTCCATTGGGCATGGAAGGAAGTTTCATTCAGACCGCTGCTTTATGGTACAGACTCCCGGGAAGATGCTTCCTTGAACATTAATTAACCTTTTCTTAAAACAAGCTCATTTAGTAAGCATCTATCTTGAGTGAACCTTGGGCCTTGTATTGGGTGAATATTTAGTAATAACTAAAAAAATTGTAATTCAATGAAATAAAGATAAAACGAAAAGAAAAATATACCAGAAACAATCAAGAGAAACGAGAAAAAAAACAAAAAAACAGTAAGAATGTGAAAGGAAAACGAAAAATTGGAATAAAGAGGATGGGAAAATAAAGTGCGTGTGTAAATAAGAGAGAGGGACAAAAAGAGAGAAAAAAGATGAGGTGATTTGGAATTTTATTGCTTATTAATTATTTGGTCTGTAATAATAAACATATTTAGCTCTTTTTGTCGATATGTTTAAATATTTTATATTACTAGAATCCACTTGGATTATATACCAACGGATTTGTTAACTTAACTCTGTATATATATATATATATATATATATATATATATATATATATATATATATATATATATATATAATATATATATATATATATTCATAAATATATATATTTATATAAATATATATACATATATTCATATAAATTATATATATACATATATTCATATAAATTATATATATATATATATATATATATATATATATATATTCACATAAATTCATTTTTTCACACTTGAAAGTGAAGTATGAAGATCCAGAGAAAATAAAATCTCTGGTGAAATAAATTATAACTAATGGAACCTTAAAGTGGTCTGTTTTTTTTTTTAAATTAATGTATATATATATATACGTAAATATAGAAAATAAAATAAAATATATGAAAAATCACATAATCACCAAAACTTTTTGCGGCGTCTTCTCCCATATATATATATATATATATATATATATATATATATATATATATATATATATATATATATATATATATATATATATATACGTAGGGGAGAAACAGAATCAAGAATAACCATATAAAGTTGTGACAATATTGGAGAAAATCAGAAAACGTTAGGTATGTATGTATGTATGTATGTATGTGTGTGTGTGTGTGTGAAAGAATATAAACCGAGAATTGGAAAAGCTAAAAATCGAGAGAAAATCAAAGAAAAACGAGGCAGCATATCTATATAAGGAGAATGTGTGTGCGTGAAAGAGAGAGGGGGTGGAGAGAAGAAATAGAGAGAGACCAAATGAGGTGCAGAGAGAGTAGTGAAAAGAAGAAGAAATAAGAATTTAAAGTTATAAGTAAAAAACTAAGAGAGAAAAACAAATGTAAGCAAGTAGAATATTATGAAAAAGAAGGTAGGCTTATATGCTTAGAATGACTTTTGAAAGCCTCAACTCTGAAACAGAGAGAGAGAGAGAGAAAGAGAGAGAGAGAGAAAGAGAGGAAAACAAGAGTAAATATTGACATTATGGAGACAGTGTGGGTGAAAGAGAGAAGATATACTTAGAGAGATGGTTTGGTTTGGTTTGGTTTATTTTGTTTTACAGCATATCAACTTCAATTGGTTATTTAATGCCGACAACATTTTTTATTGCTGGTAATATTTTGTTTTGTCCAAAATCTATTTCTGGTAATATTTTTCCTTCAAAATTGTATTGCTGATAACAATTTAAAAAAAAAAAAAATTGCTGGTAATAGTTAACTATTTGCCCATAGCTGGGACCCTAACAGGTGCTACCACCCCGGATCAGGGTAGACCTGGGAACACCAGTAATTAAAACGTCGTTCCCCGCTTCTCAAAACCTCATGATCAGAGGCCTTGCTGCTGGACGTGAGTTTAACGTCTTACCCAGGACGTTAGGTAGAGAGACTTGATGAAAGAATAAACAGAGATGAACATGTAATGTGAGAAATAGTTAAAAAATCTAGAGAGAGTGTGTGTTTGTGAGAGAGAGAGAGAGGGAGAGAAAGAGAAAGACAGAGTGTAATATATATAATATATATATATATATATATATATATATATATATATATATATATATATATATATATATGGAGACAGAATTGAGAAAAAGATGAAATGGAAAAATTAAAGTATAAAGTGTGAGACAAAGAGAGAGAAAAACAAGACACAGTAAGTCTATAATAATTTTATAGCGCAAGTGTGAGCGACAGAGAGAGAGAGAGAGAGAGGGGGCAATATGAGACTTGAGGAAAGAAGACTGATTGATTCAAATTTTTACGGTTCATCAACCCTTTGCAGGTTATTTAAAACCAGAAAATATTTTTACATTGTAAGAATCTTTTTTTTTTTGGTGGGGGGGGGTAGATAATAATAATTTAGCGATACAAGTCTTGCTAATTAACCCATAGCCGGGGGGGAAGTGTTGGATTTATACCTTTCCCAAGAGTAATTGGACGTAAGTGAATATAACGAACCCAACTGGAATTGGAATTTTGTTCTCCGATTAACAATTCCGAGCATCCATTACACCACCCGCACATCCAAGCTTACAGCACCAGGTATTCCCAAGCGGTCATTCATCTAAGTACTGACCTCACTCGACGTTGATTAACTTCGGTGATCGCACGTGATAGGCCCGTGAAGCAGTGGAACGGAGAAGAAATAAAACGTAATAAAGAAGAAACCATAAAAGAAAGTGTGAAACGAGGAAGGAGAAAACGAGGCAGACAGACAGACAGAGAAATAAGGTTATTGATATAAAGACGTTGTGAATGAAAGAGAGAAGAAGAAATATGTTAAAAGATTTATCGAAAGAAGAGTAAACAGATGAATCAAAAAGTGTGTGATTGTGTGAAAATAAGAATATCGTCATAGAAACAATGCGATGAAATGAAATTTGATTAGATTTTTACAGCTTTGTAGCTTATTAAATGTCGAAGCATTTTTTTGGGGGTGGGAATGCAAGAATAATTCTTTTATTGCGTCCGAGTATCTCATTGACAACTGATTTGGAGAATAACATTGATTTTTTTTCTAGATACACGTTCTACTATTTCACCCATAGCTGTATGACAATTGTTTAGGAAAATAACATTGTTTTTTTTTTTTTTTTTTTGTTTTTTATGCAAGTCCTACTTTTTCATCCATTAGCCTAGGACAATTGTTTTGGGAAAATAACATTGTTTTTTCTAGATACAAGTCCTACTTTTTCAACCATAGGTCTATGACAATTGTTTTGGGAAAATAACATTGATATTTTTCTAGATACAAGTCCTACAATTTCACCCATTTGTCCATGACAATTGTTTTGGGAACATAATAACATTGTTTTTTCTTGATACAAGTCCTAATTTTCAACCATGGATGTATGAAAACTGTTTGCGAAGATAACATTGTTTTTTCTAGATACGAGTCCTACTTTTTCAACCATAGGTCTATGACAATTGTTTTGGGAAAATAACATTGTTTCTTTTTTCTTTTTCTTTTTTATACAAGTCCTACTTTTTCACCCATAAGCCTATGACAATTGTTTGGGAAAATAACATTGACTTTTTCTACATACAAGTCCTACTATTTCGCCCATAGCTACATGGTACAGATTGTTTAATGTTTTTCCAAGAGTATTTGCGAGTAAGAATCCAAAATGAAACTACTACCTCTTAGTCATCATATGAATTATTTTGGCCTGCTATTAGTATGACTGATGCTGACCTCCGGGAGAGCAAATCATTGGTCACACGTTTTCCTTTGACACCGAGTGGAGTGATTATATTGAATTAAATTTGAGGTGAAATGGCTAACTATTTCCGGACAATTTTTCTCGGCATAATCTGTCTTGCACGTTTATAAATCTACCATTCATCCGTACATCGAATATTGCTTATATATTGTGTGATGTTATCGGTCCTGACCTGGCGTCTCGATTAACCACTTTCCCACCGTGAAATGGTTTCTCTCTATCTTTTCTCTATTTTCATGGCAATTTTTCTAATGATGTCGCTTCATTGGTACCTGGGCCGCATGAATTTCAACGTACTACTAGATTGGCAATTAGGTCCCAACGTTTTACTGTTGAAATAGTTAAATGCAACCGTAAGTTCTATTCTGCTAGTTTATTTTCTCGACTGTATAACTTTCTTCCAGTTTCTTTTTTTACCTACCATCTTGAAAAATTTAAATGCAATGTTACTTGATTTCTTCTGTCTTCATGATATCTGTTATCGTATTGCCCTGTCTCCTCACTAAAGTCTTCTCGTTTTCTTTCATTCTCAGTTACTCTTCGGGCAAAAGGATTAAAAAAAGCGAACGCAACTAGAATTCGAACTCGGCTATCAGATTTCCCACATTGAGGCGCTACATTACACCAGCTATTATAAAGAGCAAAATTTGTGGAATGATAGAGATATTGGAATAGGAGTAAGCGTGTGAGAAAGAGGGGCAATGGAGATAGAAAGGGAGAGAGATAGAAAGGGAGAGAGAGGGGGAAAGTCAGAAGGTGAAAGAGAGAGAGAGAAAATGGAAAAGAGAGTGAAATGGAGAGCGGTAGCAAGTGCAAAATTAAAAGAGAAAAAAGGAAAGAGAGGGCGAGTGAGAAAGGGTGGGAGAGCGAGAGAGAGAGAAAATGAGAGAGATAAAACGGAAGAGAAAAGGCAATTGGAGAGGGTGAGCGAATGGGAAAAGGAGAGAGTGAGTGAGATTGAAAAGTGGAGAGAGAAAGGTAAAGAGAGAGAGAAAAATGGAGAGAGAATGAGAGAAATGGAGAGAATGTGAGAAAGAGAGAAAGGGTTAAAAAAAGGGAGAGAGAGTAAAATAGAGAGAGATAGGAAGTGGTGAATTGAGAGAGGGAAGGGAAAGAGAGATCGACTGAGAGAGAGAGCAAGAGAAAGAGATAACAAGCAAAGGATAAAGGACGAAAGAGATTGAGAAAGGGAGAAAGAGAAAGGGAGAGAGGAGGGGAAATGAAGAGAGAAAGATCGTGAAAAAGGGAGAGAGAGAGCAAGTGAGAGAGAAAGTGAGAGATGAGAGAGAGAAAGGGAGAGAGAGAAAGGGAGAAGGAGCAAACTAGGGAGAAAAGGGAGAAAGAATGAGAAAGGAAGAGAGGTGGGGAAATGAAGAAAGATCGTGAGAAAGAGCAACTTGGAGAGAGATTGTGAGAGATGGGAGAAAGAAAAAAGAGAGAGAGAAACAGAAAGTGAAATGGACAGAGATAGCAAGTGAGAAATTAAGAGAGTGTAAAGGTAGAGAGTGAGTGAGTGAGTGAGATAGAAAGAAAGCGAGCGAGAGAGAAACAACCCGAAAAATTGTTCTATAGAGAATGTGAGGTTAACATTAAAAAATAACTTGAGAAAGATTAATACAAACAAAGTTAGCCAAAGGGAAACTGAAAAAGATATTATTTGATGAATTATTTGGACTAGAAGTCTCACTGTTCGTTTCATCAAATAATGACACCGCTTCACCTTGGGCGTTTACTTAATACATGAGAAAGAGGCTTGAATATTGGAATAACGAGAGAGATAAAGAGAAACAAAGGAGGAGAGTAATAGAGAGAGAGAGAGACAACAAGAGATAAATTGATACAAACTAATATACGGAGAGGAACAGGAAAAAAGAGAGAAGTAGAGAAAAAAAAAACAGAAAATTAAAAAGAAATACAAGAAAATAGAGAGAGAAAAATAAAAAAAAGAAAGAGACTGAAATAGAGTGAGAAAGAAAGTCGATAATTTTTTGTTGACGAGAAACAGAAATTAGGAAAAATTAATCTTTAAAAATTAAAAAAAAAAAAAAAAACGAAAAAAAGACAAGCGCAAGCATAGAAGGAGTGAGTGAAAAAGAGAAGAGAAGAAAAAGATGAAAGATGAAATGGGTAGATGGGATGGGGTAGAAAATGAGTGGGGTGTTATTTAAGAGATACAAAACCAGGCTAGAAAATCTGGCAGAAGGAAACAGTTAACATTCGCTAGCTCTGCTAATAGTAAAAGCTTGAGAAATTAGACGTCGAGACGTAGACTGGAGCTGGAAGGGAAGAGGAGAAAAGACGTGAAGTGGCGACAAGAAAACTGAGGAGAAGGATAATGATAGAAAGAAGAATGTGATTAACAGAAAGAAAGAAAGAAAGAAAGAAAGAAAGAAAGAAAGAAAGAAAGAAAGAAAGAAAGAAAGAATAAGGATGGAAAAGACAGATAAGGATAAGAAAGAAAGAAAGAAAGAAAGAAAGAAAGAAAGAAAGAAAGAAAGAAAGAGTAAGGATAGAGAAGAAAGAGTAAGGATGCAAAAGAAAGACAGAAAGCAACAAAGGAAGAAAGAGTAAGGATGGAAAAGAAAGAAAGAAAGAAGAAACAAACAAACAAAAAAAGAAAGAAAAGGAAAATAAGAATATATAAAGAAAAGAAATGCTTAACAAATGAATAAGCAAAAGGAAACAGGAAATTATATTACAAGAAAAAGAAAGAAAGAAAGAAAGAAAGAAATTATGAAAGAAAGAAAGAAAGAAAGAAAAAAAGGAAGAACCTATAAGGAAGAAAAAAAAGAAAGCAAGAAAGAAAGCAATTCGGTCGGTAAAGAAGAAAACAGTAATCAAAAGAAAACTAGAAGTTGATACGCAAGAAAGTAAAGAAAAAAACCGCAAACCAAGAAAAGAAGGAAGAACAAACACCAAAAATTAACACATTAAAAGAAAACATGAATAAAATCAACAAACAAAGAAAAAAAAGAAAAGAATACAAACCTGAAAGGAAAACAAAGCAGACGACAAAACAACGATCGGCAATTCCAAAAAATAAAGAAAAAAGAGAAACTTGAAACAAAACGAAACGAAAGAAAAGCAACTGGAGAAAGAAAATGAAAAAAAAAAATTCAAGCTAACAATCTTTGCGTCTCCATAGCAACTATCGATCATAAGGCCTTTTTATTTAATGAACATAATTGTACAGGCATTGGAACAACGTCAAATTACAAAGCAAAGAAAAGCAAGTTTTCTTCGTCACCATCGTCGCTACCAACGTCATGATCGCTGCCATTTTTTTTTCAAAACCTTCGTCCTTTTTCCCGCCCCCTTCGCTGATTGTCAAAAGATAAAGGCTAGAGGCGGCGAAGACAAGAACAGGAGGAGGAGAAGATGTGAAGAAGTGAGAGTACGAGGAAAAGGCTGAGTTAGGTATTTTCTGAAAGTGTCGTAGTTTATTTTATAAAAGATAGTTGCGATGGGGGAGTTGAAGTAAAAACATTATAAACAATGGAATGGTAGAGGAGAAGGAAGGCGGGGAAAATTCAGAGATAGGTAGCTAAGTAGGTAGGTATCTTTGTAGGGTAGAAGGTGATATGAACAACGTTAAAATAAAGCTGATCGGAAAAAGAATGAAAAAATGAAGAAAAAAAAAAGAAAGATTTACAGAAAGGAAATAATCGGGAAAAAATTAGAGAGAGAACAATAGAAAAATAAGAAACTGAAAGACACAAATGGATAGAAGAAAAGAGGTCGGCTAAAACGAAAGAAAGAAATCAGAAGAAGAAGAAGAAGAAAAGAAAATTAAACTAAAAGGAAAGGAAAAACACCAAGGGAGTAACAGAAATAAATAAATAAATAAATAAATAAAGAAAGAAAGAAAGAAAGAAAGAAAGAAAGAAAGAAAGAAAGAAAGAAAATGAAATAAAGAAAGAATTTATAGATAAATGCAAAAAAAAAGAAAATATATAATAATAAATATTAAAAAGATAGAAAGAATTTAAAGAAAAAGGGGAAAAAGAAGAAAAGTACGTAATTATTAAGCAAGAAAGATAAAAGTAAGAAAGAAAGAAAATATGGAAGAAAAAGAAATAAACAAGTAATTTAGAGATAAAGGGGAAAGAAAGAAAATATATACTAATGAATAT